CATTTTCTTGTGAATCGATTAGTCACATGACATTTACGGTTTAGGTGATTGGCTAAAGAATTGACAAAGATGGCAGATGCATACTTCTAGGTCATTTGGCTGTTGAGCAAGTACCATTGACATGAATGCTAATGCTAAAAAATGGCTTTTTTTTGTTGCTTAAAGCTAATAGTCAAGTCAAGTCACTTTTATTTTTAGAGCACTTTATACATTACAGATTGCGTAATAGACTAATTAAACGTAAAACTGCTCTCTAATCTCTAATTTAATCTCTAATTTTGAATTCAAGTAAAATATTTTGAATACAGATTATTTTCCTACAAAGACAGACTCACACATGCTTAAAAATTGTAGCCATTTGCTCCCTTGTGACCTGATCCTCTGTTTTTCACATGCCCCTTACACACACACACACACACACACACACACACACACACACACACTCACTCTCTCTCTCTCTTTAATATGTGATCGTCTCTCTTAACACAGATCATTGCCTCACCTCCTTCTGGAGCTTTTATTATTGCTGTGAATGTCTCCCCATTTATCTCTCCTCTTGCACCCTCAATGTTTTCCTGTAGAGCCTCACGGCTGTAAATCTTCAAAAAGACATTCAGCCACACAAAGGCCATCACCTGATCTGCCACATCTCAAGACTTCTCATGAATCAAACCATTTAAAGGTGAAAAACACTTTTCTGTCAAGCTTTTTCCAGAACCTCGACATAAAAAAGATGACCAGCTCAAATAGTGAAGCATTGACAGGTGAGATGCCTCAGTCTGGCATATCAGATTCTCTTTTTTATTCTCTGCAGCAATTTAAGTCAACAAAAGACACTTTACTAACCTCCATTAATAAGGCAGCACTTATGCTGTGCAAACATTATTATTGGACAGAATGATCACAAAGACAGCAAAAGTTTTTTGAACAGAAAAAAATAACTAGTAATTTAGTAACTAGTAACTAGAAAGGCAGTAATTACCTTGATGACTCTTCATTGTTCCCGTTATGGAGGATTGTAGCAGCTCTGAAATTCTCAGTCTATAATTAAAGCCGGCTGCCATCGCTGGTGACAGAACCTTCCTGGAGGTGAAGACAGTATCTCAATACTAAAAGACACTTTTAATTGAGCATAACCAAGAAAGGGAAATACATGGTAATGGTTTGACGGTCCAAAACAACAGGGAGAGAGAAATGAATGCAATAGTGGCCTTTACATGGTCACAATAAGGCAGTCACATGTGAATGAATGTAAATACGTAGATTTCTCTGAAAATTCTCTAAAAAAAGAAAAAAAAAAGAAACATTTAGCAGTTTTGGAAACAAACAAACAAACATTATTTACTGTATTTATACATAATTTTTTACATTATTGCATATCCTAAAATGGAGATTTTGTCAGCTCGATTTCTTTGGACAAATTTGTCCCCAGAGTGTAGCTTAGCTAAGTATGTAAACACGCACAGACAAATATGCAAGATCCCACAAGATTTATAAGTATTTTTTGTCAGATTTAGAAATTTGTCACCAAAATATGGTTAAGTATCTACACACAAATGCACAAAATTAAGCCTGAAACTCTTGAAAAGTCTGTAAAATGTCTAAATATAGTTCAATCATGACAACTCTCGGAAGATTTTAGCATGGTGATGGATATGACAATGTTAATGTATTTGGTCTTGGCGGAATAGATCTGCTACGCTGCTGCTGAATTGCTGCTGCTGTTGGTTATTGCTGTAGTTGTAGATTATTGCTGCTGCTGCAAGCAAGTACAGGAACTTGCTACTGCCAATGCATACGGCGATATGGTGCCATGAGTACTTAAGACATACTGCTGCTGCACAAATAGCATATAAAATAACCCGTAGCAGATCTATACAGGTGGAGCTGGGGAAGGTGGAGGGTTTCAGAGAACTCTGAAAGCACGCTGCAGGAATCTCTAGTGAATGCTAGCCAGCCATATAAATGCGAAGCAGTAAGCTCATTGGCTGCATATGCAGCATGAACCAATCAGCTTGTGCCAAGACGTTTAACTCTCTGAATATCATCAGTTACATTAACAACCCGTCGCCTGCGCCATCTAGAGTTTCATGACTGAACTATATATTTTAAAACTGTGACTTTATCATTTTATAACAATAAACATTAAATAACTGAACTTAAACAACAGTGTTACAAATTTAACCTAAAGTATCCTCATATTTCCCATAAAAAATATTAGTTTAATAATTTTTTTTCTTACAATAATTTGGGTAACAGTTTTAAATGGCTGAACTCATTGAATGCAGTCTGCACTACAATAGCTGTACAGACTGAATGAAAGGAAGACAATATTTCCCAATATATTTCCCATCATGCCGCGTGTTGGGTGTCACAGATACATTTTTGGTAATAGAGGAAAAATTAAGTGGTAACAGTGTTACCCAAATTATTAACTGTGGGACAAAGCTAAACATTACAACTTCAATCATTCAAATTTAAATAATGTATTTACTATGACGAACAATATACTGTACAAACATATGAGATCCCTTTGATGTGTTTTAATACTAGAATTTAATCTAGCATAACTAAACATGGAATTTTCTGTACAGTACTTGAGAAAAGTGCAGAACAAAAACATTTTCAGAAGGTCAGAGAACGTGAAGCCTCTAAAGGGCACTTCCGCTAAAGAGACTAATTCTTAAATCATTCCACCTGTAATGAAACAAACTTTCTGCATAAACTTAATCCCAATAAAGCGTCTCATAATGGCCTCGGTAGATTAATATGTGCAAAATCAAACAGTTCATGCTTGAAGGTGGAGTGTAATGAAATGCAACCTTCCGAGTCCTTCTGCACCAGGTTGAACGTCAATGTGACAATGGCATTTTAAACTTTCTAATGAAATTATTCTAGGTGTCCTCTGTCAACTAGACAGTCAGAAGCCTTCGCGACGGGATGTTCTGGGACAGGGGTGAGATGGCTGGTTATGTTATCCTTGTGCCTTGTATGAAACGTTCCAGTCTGACAGACTTACACCGGGGTGTGTTAGTGACTTTTTATTATTTTCCCTGCTGTTCGCATTACCCAAAGATGTCCTGTCTGGGATGACATTTACAAGCAGAACGCAGGGTACGAGAGGCATGGGGATAGATTACCAGACTGACAACTGCCAGTGGCACACTGTGTTTGTTAACCTTTGTACTATGGGAGATTAAAGAGTCATCACATAGTGATTTTTAGATTTTTGCTAATACCCTCACAATAATGGAGTATGTGATCCATGCAACGAGAAGATTGTGTGGCACATGACCACAGCCTGAACAGCATATCAATTTGACACTTCTACAAGTGAACTGAATTGAATTTATGTAAGGCAAGACACTACTGGCAAAACCATTGTTTTTTATGTACTTTTTATAGTAGGCTTTTCATAACATGTTTCAGACTAGTGGAAAGAAAACATTCAAAGTACACGTTTAAACTTTATTTATTTGTGAATGTAGATTTCAATTATAGTGCATATTTTTAAAGGTAAAAGTATTGTGATTTCTGTTTGTTAATTTTTTTAATCCTATTCAACAGGGGTGTCTTGCCTTAAATTAAATGTCCACCAATTTGTTTTCAGAAAACTTAATATAAAAAAATTAACCAATAATGTAAAATAGTGCATTCTATGTTTTCTAAGTTTTCTGCTACAATTGCCCATAAAATTCAACTGAATGTATTAAATATAATGAAATATATATCAAATATATAGGTGGTATTTCAAAACCTGATGATTTATAACATATTATTTCTGTAAATACATCAAATGCTGTGTTTATGGCAACAGGTTTATTAGTAATTTATGCTGACAATTAAAGTAATATAATAGAAAAAAAACTACACAAACAGCTATTGAGTTTTTCTTTTTTATTGAGTTCATTCATTTTTATTCTACTTCCCTGATTTCAAATTGGAGTTACATTTCGTGTCAAATGATGTTTAATAGGGAATATATTGGACCTTAAAAGGCTTCTCAATTCAATCTGGAATAGGGCACAACTTCTTTAACTACTAGACCTCCATAAGAAGCTGCAGGGGAAGAAAGGATAACATTGACCTGAGAGGAGATTTCTCTAATTGAACATTTTCATTAGCTACCACAGGGGCATGTGAACTGGAACGGGTTTGATTGGGTTGTTATTTATGTACACGCTCACAAGTGCCTCCCGTCTTTATTGTGGTAGACACACACACACACACACACACACACACACACACACACACACACACTGGAGGTTGTCATGGCCACTTTCACCTGTTGTTGCGAGAGGGGAGAATTTCAAACAGTCCGTTATCACAGAAGCAGAGCATCCTCTGATCCCATACTCAAACGTGTCACAGAGAGAATAAAGAAACCGAGGCAAATTGCATGATGACAGCCAATCTGACAAAAAGTCAATATTTGGTGCAACTCATTTATATTGACCCAAAAATTGATTCATTACATATTATACGCCTTTGCGCCTCTTCAAATACTAATTCCAGAATGACACAATGATATCATCAGCTATTAAACAAGCAATTAAACCTGCAGTTATAGGGAAAAGATTAGAGTAAAAAAAAATATGTAAATAAAACTTATTTTAAATATAGTATGTGGTACGACAACTGCTGCAAATCAGTTTCAGTACATTTTAGCTTGTGTGTGTGCAACCAGGCAACCTTATGACGGCAAAACTTGAAGTCGTCATCGCTCTTCGGTAATTCAAGGGTGTCAAACCTTTTTAGAACTTTATTATCACATCTAAGTCATGTGAATTGCTGATGATGCCTATATATAAATAAGAAAGAGAAGATTCAAATTAAATTATCACCTCTCTTCTCTTTCAGATTGCATGAACGAAGTGTTAACTCTTTCAACATGGCTGCTGTTGACAAAAAGAGCCGACTTTATCCCACACACTTCCAGAATGTGATTACAACACTCGCAGATGCCAAACAAGTCAACATGCTCTACAAACCCCGAAAAACCTGTCTGATCGTGACCGTTTCAAGGTATGAACTTTGACTAGAATGAAAGCGAACTAGAGGAAGTAGGTGAAACAAACATCTGAACACATTTACACCATAAAATGACAACATTTTGTTTGCATTCGATGACAAACGGAGATAGAGTCTGTTACTGTCGAAAAATAAGAAGACATATGACAGCATTTGCAAGCATTCTGCATATAAACGACTGTGAAATGATGGCGCTCGTTCATATTTATGGCCTCTTGTCATATTTCCTGTCCTAGTAACATATGGGCAAGAACACAAACACGTATTAGCATACATTACACACACAAAGACACATTCGTCTCTAAAAACAGCGCCCACTTTGACAATCTTTCCCTCTCACAGATGTTAAATCCTGGTTGGCAGCTGAACTTCAGGGCATCATGGTCAATGTGACGCCCAGTATAGACCCAGCAGTGGCCCACGAGAGGTACAACTACCTCGCGTTGATATGTGGCGTGCCTCTCATCCTCATCATCATCTTGGGGAACGTCCTTGTGTGCCTCAGTGTGTTGACTGAACGCTCCCTCAAAACTGCAACTAACTACTTCATCGTCAGTTTGGCTGTGGCTGACCTCCTGCTGGCTGTGCTGGTCCTCCCGCTCTACGTCTACTCTGAGGTGAGCGCCAATGGCCAATGAGAGACGGTCTAAACTCCTCTATGTTTCAGACTTCTAATTTACTAATCTGTCATTTAGATGATGCTTTTACCTATGCGAACTACGCTACACTTATTACCGGAGCAGTCTGACTGGAGCAATTAGGGTTAAGTGTCCCATTCAAGGCCAGATTGATGAGATGGAATGAACTGGCCATATCGAGCTTATTGTCTCCCCAGTCATTTGTCTTTTTTATAAACTTTGAAAAGATTTCAGTTGGAGATGCTGGTACATTAAGCATTGAGAGCTACAGGGTTTCTGAGAATTCATGAGTCATTCGATGTCATATGATGTTGAACTTGTAATTATTGCTGATTGAAGTGTTAATAGTGGACTAGTGCAATGTGTTTGAATGTGTTTTGAAATGTCACGACCACTACTATAGATATAAGCCGATGAACATTACTTTCCCTGATAGTAGCTTTGGTATGGTCATGCCATGGTTTCCCATGTACACTTAGCTAGAGTAACATTACAATAAACAGAGGTCATGGCTCACCCTATTTAGGTTGGTCGAGCAACATCCAGTTTACCTAAACGGAAATTCCCTATAAGCCCTTACAATCTAAGTACACTTGAACTAATACCAAGTGTTAGCCGGATCTCTAAAGATACAGTTGGAGTGCCCTATGCTCCATCTCAACTGAATTTTAGTCCATTACTAACCTGACGCAGGAAATGCGGTAACAAGGATACAATGTAATCTACTAGAGTCAATTATTACAGAGTAAAATGGAATAAAATCAAATTTATTTATTTAAATTTAAATTTATTATCAGTCAGATAAATATGTATTATGCCAATTACATAGCCAATTCACAGATATCAAATCAATACAAAACATCAAATTCTCAAAGGAGTGAACCAAGGATGGGTAAGGGGAAGGAAGGGGATGAAAAGGAACTGATGCATATGTGAGAGAGGCGTGAGAGGCGTTTACTTATCTCTCTTAATATCTCTTAGGATCTGTATTATCTTTTAGTCTACTTTTGTAAGATTGAGACCATTGTACCACTCACCCTGAGACTATTCAAATGATACCAAACATGACTGTAAATATTATTTGCATTGATGTAGAACATTATACTATTGACCATTCTGAGTGAACCAAGTGGAGGGAGGATGGGTAAGGGGAAGGAAGGGGATGAAAAGGAACTGATGCATATGTGAGAGAGGCGTTTCCTGCACCTCCACTCTGTGGGGTGTCTCGAAGATGCCCGTGTATGTTTGTATTGTCTGTTTCGTCTGTTTCTAAAGTATCTGAGGTTCTTTCATCCTTACACATTGATACCTCTATCAGGAATGGATGAGTGGGATGAGTGTGTAGTCTTACACATTCTCTCTCTCTCTCTCTCTCTCTCTCTCTCTGTGTGTGTGTGTTTTAGTTCCTGGGAGGCATGTGGACTCTGAGTATGTACATCTGTGACGCCCTAATGACTATGGATGTGATGCTCTGCACTGCTTCCATTTTAAATCTATGTGCAATTAGTGTGGACAGGTAAGACACACACACACACACACATGCTCACCTACCACTCTCTATTAAAAATAGCTCAAACGTTATTTCCTAAAAAATGAACAAGATAACACTTACAGTGTGTTCTGTTTGAATTGTATGTCAGTAAATACAACAAAAATAAAAATCAACATAAAAAACTCACATATTATGGGCGTAAATTAAATTAGTAACTCTTTCCTCATTACTTAAAAATAATGCTTCATTACATGTTTCCTTTCCACCAGAAAAAAGTCATGCTTTGGTATGACTCATAATTATGAATAAAGTAAATTCATTGTGGCATAAAGACCATTATGATATAGGACGTCAGAATTATGAGATAAAAAGTCAAAATTGTCACAAACAATTATGAAAAAAGTAAATAAAAATGATGAGCTAAAAAGTCTAAATTGTAACAAAAACAATTGCCATAAAAAGTTCAAATTTAAATAATTTGTAATTATGACTTTTCATGTAGCATGATTTTTTATTTATTTTTTGGTAGAAATGGCCTTTACAACCTCAACAATGCAAAAATAATTTGACATGTCATAATTATGACTTGTATCTCAGTTGTGACTTAGTTATGACTTCAGCTTTATCTCATAATTATTCATCTGTATCTCATTTACCAAAGCATGTCTTTTTTTTGCCCTTCCATGAAGCTTCAACACTGCAAAAAGAAAGAAACCAAATAATTTGTCCAGCCAGATTATCTACATGTTTATTGTGGTAGTCCTAAACTTTCAGATGAATTATTTATGATTTTATTTTAACATTCAGCAGGTCTGTTTTGTGTCTCTCTGAGCGTTCACACAGTGAATCTTAAATCGGTGGTTATGTGTGATTGGCGTCCAGTGGGATGCTAATGAAACCACGACGTGGAACTGAATTTCATTATTTACACAGTGCACCAAGCATCACCGATTCACATAAACAATATGAAACAACTTCAAGAGGTCCCAGACCAAGCCAAAGCAGGGTCAATCCATCTTTGACGCATATTAAACCAAAAGCGAGCTTGTCTCTGAAGATGAAAACAAAGGTTTGGGGTCGAAAGGGTGTAGATGATTGAAAAGATGAATCAGACTTATGAGGTCTCATGCAATTTAAAACGATTGCACTAGAATCTTCCACTGTCTCAGCGGGTCACTGTGATTAACATACACAAACACATCATCATGATTTTGAGCATAAACATAAGCTTTTAGAAGCAACCCAAAGTAACTGCAATAAAAGCAGACAAATAAAGGTAGTTCAAAAGGTTAGTTCACCAATAAATTAAAATACTGTTATCAAATACATACCCATATGTTGCTACAAACCTGTATGACTTTCTTTCTTCGCTGGAACACAAAAGAAGACATTTTGATGAATTTTTCAACTGTTTTTCTTCATACAAAGAAAGTCAGTGGGGGCCAAAACAACACTGGACACTTATACATTACTTAAAATATCTTCTTTTGTGTTTCAAAGAATAATAGTGTTGGATCCGAGTTCACCTTGTTGAGTCTGAGTTGTGTCCTAGTTTTCAACCAATTGAGTTTGAGTAGGAGACAGTAATTAATGTCTTTTTATCTTAATTTTATGTTGTTACTTATTTTTATCTTTTATTTTACGCATGTCTGTACTCTGAAAAATTTCTGCATCCAGAATATCAGAGTCCAAGTTCGAGTCCGAGTCCACCCGAGTTCATTCATCCAGTAATTATGGGCCTTATGGTCCATTCATACAAAGGACAAAAATTATAATGATAACGCTGACTATAAAGTTGCAGTAGTCACACTACTTCTGTAAGAATAGGGAATTTCATGGCACAACTGTAAAGGTAACGACACAGGGGAACAATATGATTGGAATTACTTTCAGAAGGTTTTTTAGCTGATGAACAATAAAACCGCTGACAACCAATCAGAATCCATCCTGCTTTAAAGAGCTGGAACATTTAAAGCGGCAACAAAATTGCAGAGCACGCTTTTAATAAACAGAATATTATCATCCATTGGTGTACATGGTTATCACTATAGTTATCTTTATAGGTGTCAGTGGACCTTAGAACTTTCTCTACATCTCTGTTACAGGTACATTGCAGTAGTGGTCCCTCTGAAGTACAACAGGAACCAATTTAGTGCTCGTCAGCTAGTCTTGATCACAGCCACCTGGGTGCTTTCCCTGGGCGTAGCCAGTCCTGTCATATTCGGCTTGAACCAGGTACCAAACAGGAACCCTCATGTGTGTAAGCTGGAGGACAACCAGTTTGTGGTCTACTCCTCCATCTGCTCCTTCTTCGTCCCCTGCCCTGTCATGCTCCTCCTGTACTACTGGATATTCAGGGGACTAAAGCGATGGAGCTCTGGCTATAGCCGGTCACACCTCCACCGGCCACCCAGAGGGCGTAGGAGCCTGTCTTTGCGACTAGGAGCAGCTTTACAGAAGGAGAAGGGACGGGCAAGGGAGAAAGTAGTGTACCTCATGCCTGCAGGTCTTAGTCCGACATCTCTCACCGCTTCCCCGACTACTCCAATCTCCCCAGCCAGCCCGGTTACCCTTATCACAGACGAGCATGCAGAAGGTCAGACGCCGGCAGCAGAGAGTGACCCCATGACCACCCAGATGGACAGTGTATCGGACGCAGAGAACCCTAAGTGGGCCACTGAGGATGAGAGCGGCCGGGAGAACGGTGTGGGGAAGAACCATCAGCCTCATGCGGGACGACGCCACAGCAAGGGCAACAGGGTGAGCAGACGGGAGCGGAAGGCGATGAGGGTGCTGCCTGTGGTTGTGGGTATGTATCTGTTCAATTTAAATTTGTGTATTGTGCTTTTCACAACAGAAATTTCTAAAGCAGCTTGATGTGCATTTTAAGCTGCATAATAAAATTGTATTTCAAAATTGTATTTAATATTGTAATTGTTTTTTGTGTTTCTTTGAATATATTCCATTTAAAATTTGAATAAATCACGATCAGCAATTTCCTTTTGGTTGAGCAAGGAATTTTTGCTTAAGGGGTTAATGCAATTTCTGTCATCATTTACTCACTTTTATGCTCTTCTGTATGCAAAAAGAGAAAATCATCATATTTGGAATTGGCATAGATGCTTGAAAACATCTTGGTGGCCTCATGAACATTTTCCTAAACGTCTCCGTTTGTGTTCCACAAGTTCATACTATTTGAAATAAGACAGTGTTGAGTGAATTATGACAACATTTTTATTTTTTTGGTGAACTGTATCTTTAAGATGAACAAATGCTGGTGAGCAGCCATGCTGGTCTTTACAAACTGAGTGCCTTGCCATGATCTGATGTTTTTAAAATCAAGACTGTGCAAGTATAGATACAATGTGGATGGAGCGATGGAACTCTGGCTGTAGATCACTCCAATAGATACACAGTAGATACAATGTGTGTTCGAATGTTCATTTGTGAAGATAATGAATCAAGCCATCAATAAATGCATGAACAGAAATTAGAACTAAATGACAGCCATCATCAGGTTGTCAAGTATGATGACAACACTGCTAAAATGTCACGTTCTGCAATATATAAAAACTTTCCATGGTTTGATGTGACACCTGCTGCTCTAGGATTATTAACATGACAATTGCTTTTTAACAGAAGTCCTTTCAAGTATAAAATATATAAAGCTGTTTCCAGGGCAATGAAAGCACTGTGATTCTAACCATATGGCCACCATTGTTTCCCGTACAACATACAGACTGAAATCTTGGTGTGAAATCAGTGTGCTGCAATACAATAGTATAAATGAAAAAAAAAAATACAAAAGCCGAATTAAAAGGTAACTGACACTACTAAAGAAGTGACCAGAGGAAACAAAACATCGAGCCAGAAATGGTTTGCTCTTTTGCTGCCTGTAGTCTGTTCAATCATGCACATGAAAGAGTTGGAAGAATTACCAATGTAAGGATATACATAAACTCCTAACATGATTTTCTCCTCCCCAGGTGTGTTTCTGGCCTGCTGGACTCCTTTCTTCGTGGTCCATGTGACTAAGGCGCTGTGTGAGTCATGTGACATCGGGCCGATGTTGATCAGTGTGGTCACGTGGCTTGGTTATGTGAACAGCGCCGTCAACCCTATCATCTACACTGCCTTCAATGTGGAGTTCAGGAACGTCTTTCACAAACTGCTCTGCTGTCGCTCTGACTTTTAGAAAAATACATAGTATGAAGTATGTGGACACACTGTCCCAGACCTGGGTGGTTTACACCTCAATGGGAACAGAAGGTAATTTACATGGAATGACACACCCTCTACAGTAATCAAAATATCTCTTAACTTATCTCTCTTAATATCTCTTAGGATCTGTATTATCTTTTAGTCTACTTTTGTAAGATTAAGACCATTGTACCACTCACCCTGAGACTATTCAAATGATACCAAACATGACTGTAAATATTATTTGCATTGATGTAGAACATTATACTATTGACCATTCTGAGTGAACCAAGTGGAGGGAGGATGGGTAAGGGGAAGGAAGGGGATGAAAAGGAACTGATGCATATGTGAGAGAGGCGTTTCCTGCACCTCCACTCTGTGGGGTGTCTCGAAGATGCCCGTGTATGTTTGTATTGTCTGTTTCTCAGGAGATCAAAGTATCTGAGGTTCTTTCATCCTTACACATTGATACCTCTATCAGGAATGGATGAGTGTGTGTGTCCTGTAGTCTTACACATTCTCTCTCTCTCTCTCTCTCTCTCTCTCTCTGTGTGTGTGTGTGTTTTAGTTCCTGGGAGGCATGTGGACTCTGAGTATGTACATCTGTGACGCCCTAATGACTATGGATGTGATGCTCTGCACTGCTTCCATTTTAAATCTATGTGCAATTAGTGTGGACAGGTAAGACACACACACACACACACATGCTCACCTACCACTCTCTATTAAAAATAGCTCAAACGTTATTTCCTAAAAAATGAACAAGATAACACTTACAGTGTGTTCTGTTTGAATTGTATGTCAGTAAATACAACAAAAATAAAAATCAACATAAAAAACTCACATATTATGGGCGTAAATTAAATTAGTAACTCTTTCCTCATTACTTAAAAATAATGCTTCATTACATGTTTCCTTTCCACCAGAAAAAAGTCATGCTTTGGTATGACTCATAATTATGAATAAAGTAAATTCATTGTGGCATAAAGACCATTATGATATAGGACGTCAGAATTATGAGATAAAAAGTCAAAATTGTCACAAACAATTATGAAAAAAGTAAATAAAAATGATGAGCTAAAAAGTCTAAATTGTAACAAAAACAATTGCCATAAAAAGTTCAAATTTAAATAATTTGTAATTATGACTTTTCATGTAGCATGATTTTTTATTTATTTTTTGGTAGAAATGGCCTTTACAACCTCAACAATGCAAAAATAATTTGACATGTCATAATTATGACTTGTATCTCAGTTGTGACTTAGTTATGACTTCAGCTTTATCTCATAATTATTCATCTGTATCTCATTTACCAAAGCATGTCTTTTTTTTGCCCTTCCATGAAGCTTCAACACTGCAAAAAGAAAGAAACCAAATAATTTGTCCAGCCAGATTATCTACATGTTTATTGTGGTAGTCCTAAACTTTCAGATGAATTATTTATGATTTTATTTTAACATTCAGCAGGTCTGTTTTGTGTCTCTCTGAGCGTTCACACAGTGAATCTTAAATCGGTGGTTATGTGTGATTGGCGTCCAGTGGGATGCTAATGAAACCACGACGTGGAACTGAATTTCATTATTTACACAGTGCACCAAGCATCACCGATTCACATAAACAATATGAAACAACTTCAAGAGGTCCCAGACCAAGCCAAAGCAGGGTCAATCCATCTTTGACGCATATTAAACCAAAAGCGAGCTTGTCTCTGAAGATGAAAACAAAGGTTTGGGGTCGAAAGGGTGTAGATGATTGAAAAGATGAATCAGACTTATGAGGTCTCATGCAATTTAAAACGATTGCACTAGAATCTTCCACTGTCTCAGCGGGTCACTGTGATTAACATACACAAACACATCATCATGATTTTGAGCATAAACATAAGCTTTTAGAAGCAACCCAAAGTAACTGCAATAAAAGCAGACAAATAAAGGTAGTTCAAAAGGTTAGTTCACCAATAAATTAAAATACTGTTATCAAATACATACCCATATGTTGCTACAAACCTGTATGACTTTCTTTCTTCGCTGGAACACAAAAGAAGACATTTTGATGAATTTTTCAACTGTTTTTCTTCATACAAAGAAAGTCAGTGGGGGCCAAAACAACACTGGACACTTATACATTACTTAAAATATCTTCTTTTGTGTTTCAAAGAATAATAGTGTTGGATCCGAGTTCACCTTGTTGAGTCTGAGTTGTGTCCTAGTTTTCAACCAATTGAGTTTGAGTAGGAGACAGTAATTAATGTCTTTTTATCTTAATTTTATGTTGTTACTTATTTTTATCTTTTATTTTACGCATGTCTGTACTCTGAAAAATTTCTGCATCCAGAATATCAGAGTCCAAGTTCGAGTCCGAGTCCACCCGAGTTCATTCATCCAGTAATTATGGGCCTTATGGTCCATTCATACAAAGGACAAAAATTATAATGATAACGCTGACTATAAAGTTGCAGTAGTCACACTACTTCTGTAAGAATAGGGAATTTCATGGCACAACTGTAAAGGTAACGACACAGGGGAACAATATGATTGGAATTACTTTCAGAAGGTTTTTTAGCTGATGAACAATAAAACCGCTGACAACCAATCAGAATCCATCCTGCTTTAAAGAGCTGGAACATTTAAAGCGGCAACAAAATTGCAGAGCACGCTTTTAATAAACAGAATATTATCATCCATTGGTGTACATGGTTATCACTATAGTTATCTTTATAGGTGTCAGTGGACCTTAGAACTTTCTCTACATCTCTGTTACAGGTACATTGCAGTAGTGGTCCCTCTGAAGTACAACAGGAACCAATTTAGTGCTCGTCAGCTAGTCTTGATCACAGCCACCTGGGTGCTTTCCCTGGGCGTAGCCAGTCCTGTCATATTCGGCTTGAACCAGGTTCCAAACAGGAACCCTCATGTGTGTAAGCTGGAGGACAACCAGTTTGTGGTCTACTCCTCCATCTGCTCCTTCTTCGTCCCCTGCCCTGTCATGCTCCTCCTGTACTACTGGATATTCAGGGGACTAAAGCGATGGAGCTCTGGCTATAGCCGGTCACACCTCCACCGGCCACCCAGAGGGCGTAGGAGCCTGTCTTTGCGACTAGGAGCAGCTTTACAGAAGGAGAAGGGACGGGCAAGGGAGAAAGTAGTGTACCTCATGCCTGCAGGTCTTAGTCCGACATCTCTCACCGCTTCCCCGACTACTCCAATCTCCCCAGCCAGCCCGGTTACCCTTATCACAGACGAGCATGCAGAAGGTCAGACGCCGGCAGCAGAGAGTGACCCCATGACCACCCAGATGGACAGTGTATCGGACGCAGAGAACCCTAAGTGGGCCACTGAGGATGAGAGCGGCCGGGAGAACGGTGTGGGGAAGAACCATCAGCCTCATGCGGGACGACGCCACAGCAAGGGCAACAGGGTGAGCAGACGGGAGCGGAAGGCGATGAGGGTGCTGCCTGTGGTTGTGGGTATGTATCTGTTCAATTTAAATTTGTGTATTGTGCTTTTCACAACAGAAATTTCTAAAGCAGCTTGATGTGCATTTTAAGCTGCATAATAAAATTGTATTTCAAAATTGTATTTAATATTGTAATTGTTTTTTGTGTTTCTTTGAATATATTCCATTTAAAATTTGAATAAATCACGATCAGCAATTTCCTTTTGGTTGAGCAAGGAATTTTTGCTTAAGGGGTTAATGCAATTTCTGTCATCATTTACTCACTTTTATGCTCTTCTGTATGCAAAAAGAGAAAATCATCATATTTGGAATTGGCATAGATGCTTGAAAACATCTTGGTGGCCTCATGAACATTTTCCTAAACGTCTCCGTTTGTGTTCCACAAGTTCATACTATTTGAAATAAGACAGTGTTGAGTGAATTATGACAACATTTTTATTTTTTTGGTGAACTGTATCTTTAAGATGAACAAATGCTGGTGAGCAGCCATGCTGGTCTTTACAAACTGAGTGCCTTGCCATGATCTGATGTTTTTAAAATCAAGACTGTGCAAGTATAGATACAATGTGGATGGAGCGATGGAACTCTGGCTGTAGATCACTCCAATAGATACACAGTAGATACAATGTGTGTTCGAATGTTCATTTGTGAAGATAATGAATCAAGCCATCAATAAATGCATGAACAGAAATTAGAACTAAATGACAGCCATCATCAGGTTGTCAAGTATGATGACAACACTGCTAAAATGTCACGTTCTGCAATATATAAAAACTTTCCATGGTTTGATGTGACACCTGCTGCTCTAGGATTATTAACATGACAATTGCTTTTTAACAGAAGTCCTTTCAAGTATAAAATATATAAAGCTGTTTCCAGGGCAATGAAAGCACTGTGATTCTAACCATATGGCCACCATTGTTTCCCGTACAACATACAGACTGAAATCTTGGTGTGAAATCAGTGTGCTGCAATACAATAGTATAAATGAAAAAAAAAAATACAAAAGCCGAATTAAAAGGTAACTGACACTACTAAAGAAGTGACCAGAGGAAACAAAACATCGAGCCAGAAATGGTTTGCTCTTTTGCTGCCTGTAGTCTGTTCAATCATGCACATGAAAGAGTTGGAAGAATTACCAATGTAAGGATATACATAAACTCCTAACATGATTTTCTCCTCCCCAGGTGTGTTTCTGGCCTGCTGGACTCCTTTCTTCGTGGTCCATGTGACTAAGGCGCTGTGTGAGTCATGTGACATCGGGCCGATGTTGATCAGTGTGGTCACGTGGCTTGGTTATGTGAACAGCGCCGTCAACCCTATCATCTACACTGCCTTCAATGTGGAGTTCAGGAACGTCTTTCACAAACTGCTCTGCTGTCGCTCATGAGGCCAAATGCTCTTTTTAGCACAAGTCTAAATTCATGATGAATCATCAAATAATTCAAACAATAATGATCAAAAAAAAACACCTGCAAGATCTGAGCATACAATGGTCTCCAAGCGCAAGAATGCTTAAGGAAATGAAACTTTACAAAACAATGGATTACTGAAAGGAATGAATGGACATTAACAGCGCAGTGGAATGTACCATTGAGGAAAACTTCTGATGCCTTAGTTAACTGAACATTTTCTTGTAAAATTATTGCTACAGTAGATAACAGAATACTGTTGATTTCATAGCCCAGAGGCATAAAATACGTGAAAACGTCCACATTGAAGATAACAGTCGTCTGTGCTTGATATGTGATTGGTATCAGTGTTCATTTAATAATTAAAAAAAAAAAAAAAAAAATTTTTTTTTTTTTTTTTTT